GACTCGATAAGGACCAATGCCAGAAACCTAAATGGTCTAGAACGAATTCATCGTTCCAGTGTTTGAAATTGCTAAACAATTTTTATATTTAACATTTTTTACTAAATCTTTTATAAAATTTTATTCATTTTTAACCATACATCCAGGAACTCTTAATTTGTTAACAAATTTACACTGATAATGATAATTGATTAAATTGCTCCCCCAAATGCAGCCGTTTTATCCACATCATGAATCTATGACGTCTAGGCAATACGATTCATATCCAATTTTCCAGTAGCATATGTTTGCCTTTATGGCCCTCAACTTGATGCCTTCATTCTTCTTCCCCTTGAATATTCTCTGTGGACGGAGATAATCCACATAGGCAGTATTGCTAACAAACGCTAACAAAGGGGCCGAATGCTGTGCGATACCGTGGACAAGCCCCCAAAGACACCCCAAAAACAGTTCAACATGATCTACTGTGACAGTAGCGTATTAATTCGCATTGTCGCTAATTGAATGGGTGATTTCTACCAGACCGTATCAGCCAAAATCGCAGATAGCAGCAAGAGGGTGAATTGATCACCATTCAGCGGCTGGTAACCATGGCGAAAACACTTGACAGAACCAGAAGTACCAAAAAATAACAATGAAGCATAAAATATATTAACCAAGCACATAAGTGAGATGAAGCAATGATAAACACGAAACTTTTAAGGGGTTAAACTACTAAAAGGCTGGTACACGACTTGATTAGCGCATTTGTCATTTTTTTTTTCATAACACAACAAAAGTTTTAAACATAGGCTGGTCATTAGTGTGTACTTCATAAAATCAGTTCTGTTATGAAGCGTATCAGAATGCCTACATGTTTTTTGGTAATTGGTAAATTAAGCGCTATTGAAGTAGATGACATTGGCTGACTTATAATTCTTTTAAAGATAAAGCGAATTTTATTTAGATGTAAAAGTTTAATGTATTTTTTTTGCTTGAAGATTCAGTTGCTTGATTCAGCCTACCGTAAGGCAGAAAGGTATTATCAATTCAAATGTATTTGAATATTTCCGAATTTTTGAGAATTTGAAAAAAAGTTGCTTCAACTTAAGTGCTGTTTACTCGTAGGTACTAATAGATACTGATGGCATTAAAAAGTCAATTTGTACAAACATACAACACTAAGAGATATTTTTTTATACGCTTAAGCTTAATGTTTACCTACTTATCACACTTGAACATTTTGAAAGCTGCTCGGCTTTATTCTAGATTTATTTGATTCCGCATCACAATCACATTGGCAAATATTGACATACGAGTAGTGTGGAAGATCAGTAAGTAGTATTTGTTGGACACATTTTTAATGGATAGGTCCACCCCACAAAAAAATGTGCGCATAATTTATGTTTTAGATGGTTTTCATATGAATGTTTTAGTGCAACTAAAACACTGGAATAGTCGTGACCTAAAAGGGTGTAATCTAATCAAAGTATTAATATCGTAACTTATGCACATTGCACAGTAGCACATGTGACGGCAGTGTAAGGTAAAAACGACGTGGCATTTAATGAGAATGAATAAAACCCTGTATGTACGATTTTAATAGTCGCTGGACGATTTAAACGCTGAAAGCTCAGGATGTGATGCGAAACGAGCGCCGAGTTTGCACGTACGAAAAATTCCGTTCGCGCCGCTATAAATTGTGCAATTTTAATAATTTCACCGCGGTTCGGACGTAAGTGCACAATAAAGTAATAAAGATAATCATCGTATGCCTAAGCGTCAATCGCAATTATTTTGCTCTACATTATAAGGTTTATGTTCTAAAAGAAACTGTTTAGTATGTTTGACAGGTGTGGTACGAATTGTATATTTTCCAAATTTACAAAATACAACTAATCTCCTCATTGTAGCATGTAGACACTTTTGACTTCTTCCCAAATAAATAATTAAGGCAAACAAGGGGATCTTAAACGGCCAGCTTTGAAAACACACTATTTACATTTCACATGAATAATTTCTTGGCTTTTAATTAAAATGTAAAACATAAGTACCTATAAACAAACATGCAAGGAAATTAAAAAACTTCAAAGGAACAGAAAATTAAAAAAACTTTCTAATTGTTAAAATCCCGTTTTTTTTCTAGATTAATCTCGGAGTAAATTAAATTTTTTAATATTCCCTGAAAACTTTGAATACTTGAGCGTTGAGGAGTAATTTGAGACTTTGTCAGATTTTATTAATCGTGCTTCGGATACAGCGAAGATATAATCATGCCGCTTTCAGTGTGGTTTTATCCTCTTCCAAGTCTTCAAACCGCGACTTGTAATTATCTAATAGTCAAATGACACAAATGTTTACATTTTATGCGTTTTTATAGCTTCTCATAGTCTCAGAGCGTGTTACCAGTGCTTGAGTATTTCAATGGTAAAGCAACATTTTACAAAATATACTTCAAAGAAAGCTATTGGTATTTGTGTGTGAATATGATAATCCGTTTTATCGCTCACGTGTTAATACATATGTGGATATGCTCTTTTCTAGGTAAAAATGCTACCGAATTGACAGTCCAGCAATCATGTCCACAGCCAATAACACATGCATTCCTCGTTTTTAAAACCGAATACAGCATCGACAAGCAAAACGTTTACGATTTTCAATAATTTCGAATCGTAAAATTACTGAGTTAAGTAACGACTTTAAAGTTATCAGCAATCGTCTAGCATTGAATTTATTGCTCGTAAATTTCTTGCACAGTATACGTAATGATTAATAAATTTAAATATTCTTATTTTTTAAATATTTATTGATTATAAAACTTATAAATGCAAACCGTAGCATCCATCCTTTGACAAAAAAGACTTCAAGACTTGATAAATGGACAAACAAATTTAATATTCCCATCAAAAAAATGTTGAGATGGTTGTTGAGAGGCTGTTTGTTTCTTGTTTGAAATGAATGTTCATGTGCTCAACATATGGATGAAGATGGACATACTTTTCTTGAAATTCTCTTTATTTGTTTCTAATGTAGAACGAGCCGCTTTTGCATGCGCCTTTGATTGATGGTTGTCAGTGACCCGTGTACGGCTGCAAACGTCTTTTAACATATGCACACCGTTGCCAGACTGCTTTCGACAAGACTTTATAAACTCACTAAATTTGTCAGCCCGTTATAATGATTCGTTCTGTGACTAAGTTTTTCAGTAAGCATGTAAGCCAGCAAAAAAGCTAAAAGTGTGTTTTTAGTGGCCACAAATGAATAAATAACATTTTCAAGCAAAGTAGCTTTATATTTAAAACACATGCTTGGTATTACAAGCGACTGAAAACATCGAAACGTCAAATTGCCAATTGCTTGCTTTACAAAACCATCCACGTTTTGTTGGAATTCGTTGTTACTAAGATAATGCTGTTAATGTCATGTTAGACATGTTTAACAAATTTTTTGTAAACAAAATTTCATTAGAAAAATTTTTGAGTTTCCGTATTCATACTCATGGAAATAAAACCGTATTTATAAAAAATAGCGAGCAAAATATGAAAAGTTCCGGCGGAACTCGAAAACTGGAATCGGGCAGAAGTATTACCATCGCGCCGTTATTTTTCGTCAAATCTCGTCCGGGAATGTCAGATCGACGCGCGACATCCACGATGCGCGCGGTTGAACTGTGTGCGCAATCGGATTACAGTCAAACATTTTTCGTTAATGATGTGAAGTTTTCGAGCGCAGCGCCTGTGCGTTTTGTGATGGGCTGTGACGAAAAATTCAGACGTTCCGTTGATTTATTGCTCGCCGATGCTGCCATGGCACGGCTCCGAGCGTTGAGCACAGGAAGCCCCTTGTTTCAAAAACTCAACTGTCATTAATAACTCGCGCCGAAACGAAATGAAACCGAGCAACGTGCACCTATCATACACACTCACCAACTTACACATGCGTTGGCAATGAGAGCATAAAATGCGCAGAAAGCCAGGTAGAGCAAAGCGAACATGCGAAATTCGGAATTTGACAAGCAAAGTCGGTCAAAGAAAAACAATCCAATTGATATATAAATTTATATACATATACATTTTATCTATATCAATTTTATCTATATCTATAACAATAAAAATGAATTGAAAAATCTGTTGGTAGTCAACAACGCGTAGATTAATTTGGCCAATTCTTTTTTTAAAATGTTCGTTTGAGTCCAAGGATGGTTTACGGCGAGAAAAATTTGAATAATTGCAGAGAAAACCCTAAACCTTCTTATAAAGTAGGCGCAAACTATAACCGCATGTTTAAAACTAAAGAATTGTGAGTAGTTTAAATGCAAGCACAAGTGGACCGACATTGTTACAATAACACAAAATGTGTACACACAAGGAGGCCGCGCATAAATCTCAATCAGCCGTAATTAATTTCTCACGAACGTGCAATGAGCGAACGCAAACGACGCACGGTACGGTAGGTAAGCAATCATCGGTCGCGAACAAGAGAAGCTTGATTGAGACGTCAGCGCCTCAATGGATGCGCACAAGGTAATATTAATAAAAACGCGGTAATAAATTACCAGTGTTACCCTCGTCTATTCCCATATATGAACGTAAGCTCACGTTCACTAACCCATAAGCGTGCGAGTCCTTTTCACCAACATCCTTGTCTGCAGCGGTTTCTGAAGCGCCCCGGTGCATGTGAACACAAACCCATGAAATGTAAGAAAAGAGGCACTGTAGAGACGCAGCATAATGATGACGATGCACTTGCGGTAACCAATAATTAAATTATTTCTTGTGGATGGAATAAACGCCTGTGATAGCGATGGAAGGGGATGTGATCGGTAGCTGTGATTGGAACGAGCAATAAACCACATCATTATATCACGTTTTTATTTAATTCCCATCGTTTCCTATCGTCTTTGCCCGTATTTAACGCTATATTACTTAAATCCATCATTCATCTTTGACCATTGGCCAAATTTAATTTAAGCTTTGTAAAATGTATCGAATTATAAAAGGAAGAAATAAATACTCGGCACATTGTTTTTTATTTTGTATAGTTTATTAATTAATAGGAATATGCTACCACCTTGTGTTGGTTTCTGTCCTGTAGGTACAAAACATGATATTTGCAGGTGTGTCTTGTTTGTGTTTTGTCGTTTTTTATATGTCAATATTTGAGTGAATAAAAAATGACCGCTCTAATATGTAAAATATGTCTTGTGGATTTTTTTTTAATTGTTCTATAATCGCAAATCGCATGTCTGTACAATCTCATCCTCTTTCACACGCAACACACACCCCTTTATCGTCGAACTCATTTAATTGAAGTGCATTTTAAATATAATAGGAATAAATTAACAAATGATTAATGAATAATTAGTAATGAATAATAATAATAAGAGTGCGGGTGCGTGTTGCTAGAAGACGCTCACATTTTTGTATGTTTAGTGCACCATTTTGAGTGAATATCATTTGCATGACAACGAAACGAACATCAAAATAAATCAAAATTGAAACTACTATAACCATTTGGCGTCATTTATAGGAAGACAATTTGTTAATTTTTAGTCTAAGTTTACACGTTTGATTCGGAACCCAAGAAATATACTGGAAAATTTGACCATTTTGTAAAAGTTTCAAGTGTTTCCCTGTGGAAAATGCAAATAACAGTCATATCGTAATTTTATTCATTTGATGTTGCGTTTCCTTGTTTGTTGCGGCTTGTACTTATCTTAGATTTAACGAAAATCTGTGCAAACGTACTCGTAAATAGTAGGTATGTACCTAGGCGTTAAATAAAACCACACTTTAATAACATCGATTAGGTATTAGGAACAAAAACGTTTCGAATCATTTTGCTATCAGGTACACATACAAGGCAAACGCAAAAAACACCGAAAAAAAACATATAAATAATTATTTACCAGGTAGTAATTGTAATCGCGCGCGCGAGTGCCATCAACATAGGAACATAAAATTTCGCTGTGTACTTTATATAGTTCTGATTTTTTTACAATCTGTCCACTTTTTGAGAAACTTAAAAAAATCTTGTACCTACTCATTCGAGAGAAAAACCTTGTACATGTACATACACTTATTTTAGCTACTTTTAAGCTCGAACAAATAAAAATCATTAAAAATATTATCTAAACAATATTAGTGCGCATTAAATGTAATTCGTGTGTAATGGTGTAATGATATTAGCAGCCTACCGATTTTCGGCTATGGACCTCTAACTTGATAATATCTTGTCTTATGTGTGTCGTGTAGCATGAATATTAATTTTAAAATATAAATAATTAAATTAAATTATAATTGTACATGTTTGCAATCTAATAAATCTCATAATATTGTGTAACTAAGTATAACATTAATTAATGTTTGAAGCATTTCGATTGTGTGATGGAGGGCAACTTAAGAATAATAAATTATGTGTTTTGCACCTTGAGTATAGGAATATGTGCCCCTTCCACGATCATCATTTTATTTACACATTGCTTCATTCCATCTGATTAACTTTGCCACATTCCTTGTTTCGTCGGTTGTTAAATCATGTTTTTTTACATTGTTTAACGTTTTCCTATTTACAGGTCGACTTTTTCGCTTAGTTTATTTCAAAATATATTAAATAAGATCACAAAATGCATCATAAATCACGCACGGTCTTGTTTATCACCAAAAAACCTGCATGTCTTTTATAAATCATGCATCCTTCGTTTTTGTGTGCTTCTTGAATATTTTAAAGTAATTTGTATGTACACCTTAAAATTAAAATTGGAACTTTTTAAGTACGTAACCGAGCTTAGATGAAGGCGGCAGGTCACCTCACGAGCAGTCCAGCGAAGAGGGGCTGCCTGGGGGCAACATGAACGACGGACTGTGTGGATTGAGCGATTGAATGCTGCCCGCCATTGAGCCTGGCCCGGGATACATATCCAGATCGCTGAGGCCATCGATAGAGGAGCACATATCACCGGATTTGCCTTCTTGCTTCAGCATCATCCGTCGCCATTTTGCTCGGGCATTTTGAAACCATACCTGCAACAATAAGCACACAATTTGTCAATTGATATCTCTAGGAGCTTCATTATGGGTGTCACATCAATGTATTACACAGTATTGTTTTTTTTTTTTTCAGTTTAAAGAAAAGATCTGTGGGTAATAGAAAATTACTGCAGCGTCTATAATAGGGTAGATCAAACAAAACGCACGGTTTTCTCATGTGCTTCCTAAAAATTTCAAATGCGTACACGAAGACGACGGTTTCCTGCGCCTGAATGTCTGAAACCTTTACGACTTGCGGTGTTCCTCATCTCCGGCAACGCCATCATATTCACACACTTATGACCATACATAGCCATCGGCCGATTCAACCGCCCCGATCTGTATACGTTTGTGTACAAATGCGGCTTGCGGATGTAAAAAAGCAGATTCCGAATGGAATTCGAAATTGATTCGCGACTATGCGCGGACTTCAAAGTGGAGTGCAAAACAAGAAGTATCTTCTATAGTGGTTACTATTCGTCGGATCAGCGCAGGATGATGGGAATTGGCAAATTTTATTTTTCACCAGAAGCGACCACGCGGTACGTTAAATATTTTACTGAAAGTTGCACGAGTGAGGAGAGGTGACTGAAGCGCTGCATGTGTCGGCCGTTCAAGTGCCTAATACGGTTCCGCTACTATTAATAACAATAAAATAAACGTGCTGATAATAGCATTGCAGGGATACGCCGCTACGTTAATCGGACAAGAAGAGAAAACCTTCTCGTCGTTCGTGCGCAAGTTTTTGTAGCAACGATGCGCGGTGGCTGACCGCCGATCGTGGAGGAATCTCGTTCGGCCGCCCATTATCATTTGTTGCAGTCGGTTTATCTTGCCGTTCGTCAATCGGCAATGCAACTTTTTACGGAATATTTTATTGCCCACTACTGCAGACGACCCGAAAGCGGTGAGCAGGCGCAAACAATGGACGATCCGTCAAAATGGTGAAATAGCGTCGCTCCACACATTGGCGCGAGTAGCAAGCAAATAAACAGTTTTACCGACAGTGCTGTTTTGAAATCAACAATTCGAAATACGTAATTGCCACACTGGTGTAGGTAGGTATGCGTGCATGTGCTCATTACAAATGTAAAATGATGGCTGCATCTACACTTTGTTGTTTGAAAAATATAAATAAATATAAAACTACCAAATGAGTTTAAATATGTTAAATTAAATTTGCTCAGCTTCCAAGAGAAATGCAGAGTCACAAAATGGTTGCCCGAAACGAAATACGAAACATGAAATAGGAAATCCCGAAATTGTCCAGGGATTTTACTTCAAGGGATCATCCCTGCCTTCTAGCATTAGTTTGACTTTGCCTGGAAGGAAATACGGGCGTATGATGCACGCGTTTGCGAAGGCGAATCCTTCGTAATTGGAGTTACTACATCCTGAGGGGAGGAATGATTTATACGCTTCTTTTTTCATGTCGTTTGCTTTTCGTCGTGGGTGGATGAAAGGCGTGCGTTTTGCGTCTGAAACAAATTATTTCCACTGCCAATCGACATGCCAGATAAAAAGTCACCATCCGAGTATTGATTTAGGAACAAAGTAGGCTGGTATCTCCTCACAATGTCATAGTGGGAGAAGACTGGTATTTTACGTTGAGGCAAATTAGTGCGAGCGCTGATGTTGTGGTGCCACTTCTCAAAATAAACATCAGCATGAAAATAAATGCGCACGGTTTGTCGGCATTAATTTACGGTGCCGCATGGATACCATAGGTATTTTTTGTGCACTTTACGGTAATACATCAGAGAGAGAGCCTACTGAAAGCCAAGGCAAGATTAAGTGTAAGTAACGAGATTTAAACCGACCAAAATGTACCCAGCTAAGATTAACTCTAACTATAACTATTAACTTAATAAAATTTGTTCGCATATTAAACGTGAATTAAATATTTATTTTTTGTGCCGTAAGTCACATATTTGTGCGGCCATCTTGTCGCTCTGGTGCGTCTGTCTATTGGTATGATACGAAATTGCGATCGATACGCAATGATATCCTCTGTGTTGCCCATACTTAGTGTGGGGTACGGCGAACACCGAATCGCTGCTTTCCTGCTTTTCTTCAGCGCACGGCCCCGGAATAAGAGAGGAAAGCTGAAACGGCGGTCTCCATGGCAATCAGTCAGCCGGAGAGTCATTTCTCAACGGCGCTGTGCGCGAGGGAGAGTTGCCGCCACGTCGAGCCAGGTCTGGAACAGCCTTGCCGCCTTCGGCAATTAGCAGAAATAGAAATAACTTGCCTTTGTAAATCCAGCAACATATACCTACATGCACACATTCGTTCATCCATTTCCAAACTTGCGTGCAGCGTATCTGATTCGCCGTCGTGTAGGAATTTTCAAGAAATTTATTGACAGCAAATCAAATTTTGAATTTTTTCCCGAATTTGGATTTAAACCGAAAATGAAATATAGCTACCTACACATACGCTCACATACTCAGCAAAAACAAGCCGCATATCGAAACAGAATTATTGAAGTATAGTTAAATTGGACTTGAGAGCCTTGGTGCTTGGCTTTTTAGTCGTCATGTTATCTTGAAATAAGGGCCACCCCTTAACGAATACTCCCCTCCCCGACTTCACCTCTGTGTGGAGGTGCACATCCATAAGCCTGCGTCGATTGCTGTGTGAATGCAAGGCAAGACAAACAGCGGCAGCCGAGTGAAAGATTTTAATAGACCCAGTTTTTTCATTCGTTTCCTACGCTGGAAGCACAGGTCCTTAACAAGTATTCCGAAATCGCCTGCCCACGGGAAAAATTTCCCCTTTAAAAATTTTCGGATCCATGGAACACTCGGTAACCTCGAGCATAAGAGGGAACGTAGTCACGTGCGCTTTATTGCGCCATGCAAATAATGAAAATGAGTCCTCATCGTGCGCGCCGCTCGTTGCACGATTGTTTAACTGAACGAAAATCGAGGAAACGCACGAACTCCTTACTGCGCGACGATGGCAAAAAACGCGCTGAATTCACACTTTGCTTTTCTGCTCCCTCTGGTTGTTTGCTCAGCCTAATGAATGTAGCGTCTATCCAAGACGACGGCGCCAACGTCATAGCGTCGATTTTTATAATTTTCTATATAAAATTCAAACATAAAATATTTTATTACGACTCGGAAATTTCGGTATTAATGACGAGAAAAAGTTAAAATAAAAATATATGAGCAAACAAGTGTAAGTTTTTCTAAGCGCGTTTATATACCGTTAAGGTTGCCACAAAACGCGCGCGTTTTACGTATGAATAACAAGGCCTCATAAAATATTAATTTCGAGCACGGACCGAGACGAAACATGCACATTAATTCCCATATTCACAGAGTCTATGCATAACCGTGCAAGATATTATGCCAGGTTCTTCAGGCAACCAAATAAATATTGAATAATATTTTGACCAGCATTAATGATGTAATAACCTAGAGAATTCACTCTAGTACTCGTAATTTCAGAAACTTAGCAGGAAAACGGGTTCCCCCATGGTTTTTAAATCCTAAATTAAAATATTTTGAAGATTTACTCACTTGCAATACCCTCTTGGGCAGTCCAGTCTTTTGCGATAAATGTTTCAGATCCTTTGCGTCCGGGTTGTGATTAATAGCAAAGTAGGACTTCATCGTTCTTAGTTGATGATGTTTGAAGGAAGTGCGCATTCGCTTCGTCCGTTGATTGCCGCCCATGTGGCCGCCCGGCGATCGCCCGAACGGCATGTCCAAGTACTCGGAATTTAAATCTGCAACAGGCGAACAAATCCAATATTTAATAAAAACCTCACTTGTCTTCAATCAACTGGTAATGATCAGGTGATAAAAAACATGCAATGTCTGTGGGGTATTTTTTTAATAACTTCAATTCATTCTTCTATAAATATGAAAGCCTTGTGCTCTAAGCAAGATTTAAAAAAACGCTACTGTGTAAGGACACTATTAAATGAATTATTCATAATTCATGTAAATACTACATCCTCATAGACGTTGTACACAATGTGAGCAAACCATTATTTATATATTGCGCATATATTTATACATTATTTATTGCACCGAACGAATGATTCTACTTGCGATTACTAGTGCTAACAAGCACCAAGAACCAAGGTGATTAGTATTATCAAATTGCAAAACAAAATGGTTGCCCCAGTAGGTTATCGAACGTTAAACATTCCCGTAATAAATTTTCAATGCTCTTTGTTTCCTTTGGTTCAAAAGGAAAAAATGACGGGAATCCAAGAATCTATTTAGCAGGCGTGGTATGCGATCTAATTAACTCCCGAAAACAGCTACCAAACAAGTCCAAGCAAGGAAGCGGCAATCAAATATCTCATAGAGAGCACCCAAAATCATTAAAATTAAACCATTAATAGGAATGGCATTCCCTTGCGTATCGAAGTAAAGGAAGCGGCTAACAGTGGAATTTTCTAACACGCGGACATTTCTAACGATCCAAATGATTCCGAAGATTCCACGACGCACGGTCCCGAAATGCCTGGACATAAACAAGCCCGCCAAGATGAGAAGATATCTTTCAATCTTGGTCATCGGACCGAAGTATCGAACTACTTAAATTCAAGCAGTAGGTACACACAAGCAAGACGAGCGCGCGCTTTAAACCTACTGATGGAGTTAACAATGCAGCTGTCCATTGTCAATGGATGCGTATCGTAAAAATATAAATTATATACTGATTTAATCAAGATCGCTTTTGCTGCGGTTATTTTCATTGAAAAGCGGACAAAACACGTTTTTTGTTTCTGGCCGTTCATGAGCCACGCTCCTCCTTGTGACACCTTACTGCCGCTGCTCTACTAAATACAATAAAAATCCTACGAATTTTATGTCTCCAATAAATTACCAGAGTAGAGCTCTGGCACGCCACGATAGTTTTATAACTAAATTTAACGACCGCATCCACTGTGGGAAGAAACAACCAGAAAAACCAAAAATGTTTATACTTAGATCGCAACATCGCGTTTGTGTTAAAGTGTTGAAAATTATGGCAAAATATTAAAGAACGTCATTTTGTCATAAAATAAACATAATGATATTTTTCTACTTCCACATAGTACCTACCTAATACTGTAAAAACGGACAACCAAGGCGATGACAATAGTACTTTAGTCACGGGCTTAAGTCACACCCGTGGATAAACTAGCGTTTTAAAGGTGGAAGCAGAAAAAAACATTTAAGAACAAGATCTGTTCGAATAAATATTTAAAATAAAAATATATTTAAAGAATGAACAAGTTTGAACAGTTTTTATCGATTCAATCTAATAAAGCGGTCATCGAACGCATTCTGCAATTTTGTCGCGTCCTTCCGCTGTTATTTCGTGGTCATTCACAGTCGACCAAATTAACATAAAACAGTAAAGTGCGTTTAAAAAAAGTCGTTGTTGGTATCAAATAAATAAATGAATTTAACGATTAATAGACATTCTTGTACTAATGCCATGTTATGAAACCAAATATTACGAATGAAGAAAAAAAACTCAAACACCGTGCGGTAGCTACATATATACCTACAAGTGAAATTAATTTATATGCTAATCCGATGGCTTCGGTTTTATTTTCTTTTCGTATCATTTAAAATTTAAATAAATGCCGGTGAGAATAATTTTAAAATCGAGTTGTTTAGTGTAAATATTGACCGATGAATAAAAAATGTGTGGGAATTGCTTAATTTTTACTAGCAGGGGCAATTTAAGTCGGAATGGCTGGAACAAACGTATCACATCGTAAAATAGAAAATTTGTAAAACTTTATAAATTATCTTGCTTCGAAGGTTTTGTAGCAATCTCAATTTAACTACTTAAACATCAAGGTGACAATATTATCATAAATGTTTGTAGTCAGTGTAAACGTTACGCTGTGCTACAGTTTTATAAGTTCGGTTTGCTAGTCTTCGTTAATGAGAACAGTACTCGTACAATGTACGTATGTGAAATTTAAAAAAATAATTAATTTCAATTTACGGAGCGTGACAAACGGCAACAAACACATGCGGCTTGTTCGTTGATTTCCAAGAAGGGCAACCCGCCCGTGCGCTTGCTCTCTATACCCAAGAAACAGACGAGGAGGAGCACACATTCGTGCATCGTACACATGAGTGTGTTCCAAGTTTTATATCTGCCTCGTGAGCAGCACAATGTTATTTATGCATGTGTGTTGATTTGGACACTCTTTAAACGTTGAGCGCAACTCTTCATGTTCAAAATTAGTTCGGCGATTTATTTGCTCAATTTATTGCTGGCTATTTTCACACAACACTGAAAAGTAAGTAAACCAATTTTGCTTATATTTACTAAGCTATTCTATGTGTGTATGTATATCACAAAAGGGATGTTGATCTTGCCACATGGCCAATTATGAGTGAAGCGCGTGCATACAGGATTGGCGTCCGATAGACGAATACTAAGCCTACCCGCTTAGCGAAAGCGGATTGTTTTCCCTCTCAGGGATTTTCTCTTTGCCTATGCCACGGCAATTAATCAGGCAGCCAAGCGAACATACTGCTTACGCCAAGGATCAAATTCAATCCGATCATATAACTAATCCTTTTTTATTATTTTCCTTATAAAATTTTCACCAAATCAATTTTTTAGTATTTGCAAAAGTGTCATAGTGTATTACAGGCAATGTCCATGATTATTATTACTGAAAACCACTCCTATGATGCTTGACAATTAAATCTCAAATTTAAAACATCTAACATCAATCAAGGCATTAGGTAGGTCTAATATCTCAATATCAAACTTTGTGAATTTGTGTTTGGAGTTATGTATCGGGATAAAATTAAAACATTTTAGTACTAAAATTAACACCGGCTCAAAAATAATTTCTGATTCACATTTTGTTCCATATTAAATTTTAACGTTCTGTGGGCTCATAGCGCGTACCTTTTTCCCATTACTACGATTTCGTCTCTCCCGCAATATGCCTTCATTGAAAGAATCAAGTATTATCGCCGATTATAACATGGATCAGTGGTAAGATAAACTAATATATTTATATCTCGCATTGTTCAGTTTTGTCGGGTGCCCCGTATTTTGTTGTGCGCTTCGACGAGTTGTTGAGCTAACATGCGGTTTTACATTCGTGCAAACAAACACAAGCACACACCATTCGAGGAGCATTATTATGCTCGAGTGGTCGAGAACGCTCGAGGACACACACAAGTGCGCGCTGTGGGAAAACCACCGGAATAGATCACACATCATCGCACACAACCCTTCTAGCCCACAACCCACAGAACGCAAAACATCGCCAACCCTCTAAAACTTTTAACGATGTGCATGAATACCACGTGAAAGTTAAACACACAAATATCCTACCACGAACCCAATAACACCCAACAAGGAAGATGTCAGCGCGTAACGCGAAATGTAACTATCTACATAGATCAAGTTATAGGTTCTTACCTAAGTTAGCTGTCATCGCTTCCAAATCCTTAGGTTTCCTTTTCCGTGGCCGGCCTTTTTGTCGCGGCGTCGTCGGCGCGCCATTAAAGAATGGAACTTTATTAGGACTGATATCGGCGTTGCTAGTCGCTACCGGTGGTATAGATGACGCGTGATGATGGTGATGAAATTCTGGACTTGGGAACGGCGGAGCGAAGTGTTGAGGAACCGTGGTAGCACCGTGATTTTGTGTTAGATGGAACCTAGACGCGTGGGGCTCGTCCGCCAACGCCATTTCAAAGTGTTGCCGGCACAAGACTTCCCCGTCGCGCATCCCAAAATGATCGCCTTTTGTAAGAGGAGCTGAGCATTCAGCACAGGAGAAGCAATGTACATGAAAGACGGAGTCGCGGGCACGCATTACCAGCTCCGATGAAAGTATAGTTGCATGACACCTGCCGCAACGTTTCATTCCAAACAACCTGCAACAAAAATATTCAAAATTTAATAAAATTGTCATGCAAGCGTGGAAATTTTCAAATTGTAGTTAGCAGCGATATGATCAACAAACATTTTATTCCCGCACGCACAGAGAGACAATTTGTCCAACTTCAGTTTACAAGTGAAAGATTCGAGTTTGCTTTGGGAATGTGGAATTGTGGTTGTGCTATCAGAAAATCTTTACGACACCCTAAATGGCGACTCGTGGGTGCTGCTGGGACCTGCTTATTTTAAATCCACAAATACGTGGTTAGTTTGATCTACTCTACTCGATAACGTTGAGTCCATATCTTGTAGTTTCATGGTTCAGGCGCGCGTCGTAAACAAAACCTTATGAATGTAAATTATGATGCGCACATGACAACCGCAAAAAGACCAATGCGACACTCACTTAAATGTTGTTTACATTGGATTATTACATTGGATTATTATATGTAAAACCTAGCGCCGAAAGGCTATAACCAAAAATTACAGAAAAGTTGATTGTTGTATGAAGTAAAGGCTCTCTGCAAATCTTACGCCAGACTACATCACGTGCTCCATAGCTAGTCATGTGAATATTTGAACAAAAAAAAAATAGTACAATGGGCCATACAACATCGAAAACAACAATCTCAGAATACTCTCTACGTGCGGTGTGTGTGCAGAGTTCAAACGTGTCGGCGTCAGGCGTCTGTTGCGCTTGTGCGCGCTGAGCACACTTTATTAATTACCCGTGCCGGTTAATTAGCCCACGCTTTCGCCCAGCGCCGGCCGTCGCGCCGCCACCGTCAAGCGTATTATTCCTTTTTATTTGGTCTCGTTTATGCGCACAAGTAGCAGTCGACATCTGCCAATCGAGGCATAAAAAAACGCTTCCATAAATAAAAGCCGGGCCGAAAATACACAACGCCGTGCTACAAACGCACACTACGCTTTAATGTGTCCCGTATGTTTGACATTTCTATTTGTAAACAACCATTATTTATTTCGAGGGAGCATCCAGTACGCGGCTTAAACCGATCATCAAAATCTGTTGTACAATCAAATCAGGATAATGATTGAAGTAAATATTTATAATTTAACTTTGTGTCACTTGCATTGTAAGAAATTGTGTTGCTTTGGCACAGCAATATTAATTTTTTTCGCGGGGAGTTGAATTCGGAATACCTAAGTTGTTTTTTGACGATTTTTGACACTAGGATCTTTCTTATTAGCGTTGCCCGCCGTCACGAACCTTAGGCCCGGCAGCTTCATCTGTTAACACCGTTAATTATCTACCGAAGCCTGCGCGTTATTAAAAGCCAATGCACCCGCCCAAATCCTTCCCTCATTTGCAGTTGCGAGGAAATACTTGACGTTGCAAGAGCATTATCGCTCAGTTGATACGCAAGTTAATTAGAAATTTATGACCGGAGAATGTGTCTCAACACCTTCCCACTCATTATGCTTGATGATTCTCGTAGTAGTAATAGCACTCTTAGTATGTTTATAAAGTATGCATAAAGTATTGGTTGATAGACTAAGTTTACAGAATTATAAGAATTGTGTAATATGAAGGGTGCCAACCGCTTATGCGGATTCGGAAACGCAAAGCCGACGTTAACAACGTTTTCACCCAAGTAATATGTGAATCTGGCACCACGGGGCGCGCCATGTACACGTATTCTTGGCACCCCCCGTGATCATACAAACACAATAAATGCGCGGTACGTACCTTACACGCGGGGCACCTCATGGTGGCAGGGCTATTGTCAAGCCGCAATAATACACCGAAAATACGAGTGCGCGCTTCGGTCATGCATTCAAATTTGATCTGGTACTATTTCGAAACGTGCAACACACGTATTACAAACGAATTACATACGTGTTACATGTTGTTTTGTCATTGTTGACAATTCACGGCTTGCGCAACGAGCACAAACCCCTCCAAACTTTCCAACCGATTTTTAGTGACACGTTGACAAACATATACATATAAATGCTTTTATAATTTACATTCAACTTGACAATCGATGCTATACCAAGCTTGATTTCAAATTGGATACAAATTATTATTTTTCTCAAAACAATGGCGACATCAACAACTCATTATAAAGCAATGCAGTAATTGATAGATAGTGCTCAACCGATTCGAATACTCGACATGCGCAAATCATGTTAGTACTTTTTGTATACGCATTCTACGTTGATTACAGAATGCGATTGTTCGCCAAATTGTTTTTTACTTGAGTTCTGATTGGCTCTCTTTACATACTAGACTGATAACTTGAAAATAACAAAAGCGATAAATATATCTAAAAAACAACTAACTATTCTGAAATTGCATCGAAAACATTTTAATATCAATGATATCAACTGTCACATCAATGTTAACGTTGGTATGGAGTCTTTAGCAAATGTTAACTACTTGAAAATATTTCTAGAGAGATTTTCATAGACGACCCCTATCGAGTTTTGCGGTTTGTTGTGATGTGCAACATATGTACGACTGGTTCCCATTTCGGGGCCGGGCGCCGTTTAATCTCCACATCCTCGAATCCTTTCCCACTTTGATGCCACGGTTTCCGTACTAATGCATGTGCTTCACGTGTCTTGTCGGCTTTACTATACTTTGTGAGACACCGACGGATTCTGTGATTTCATGCGAAGAGGGCACTCCGGGGGGTGCACGCGGATGCAAAGAACAGAGGGTGAAAGAGGGCTCCCGACGTCAAGCGTCATACAATCATCAAATAGCAGTGGTTATAATAATAATCCACTTCACTTCACGTCTGTCTCATTGTTGTGACCTCATAATAGCATTTTTGCCATAATCCCAAAGAATCACAAAAGTCTGGGTGCACTAGAATGAATGTTTCTTTTCTATAGCGTCAAAAGTGAAAACCTACACAAACAATAAAATCGTCAAATCTTAAAGAGATGTTTTTACTGTTACATTTTTTCCAGCTAAAGAAAATTACAAAATTCTTGCATATCCACCCTTCAAGAAGAAGAATAAATATTATAAGTATAATATTTGTCACACATTCACATTGTCGGAATTCATTATATTGGCTATGAACAATTTTAATTTTAGTATTAATTACATTCATTGAAAAGATAGAAAGGTGATTTGCGGATTATTTTTTTCTTACTTGACAAACATTTTAACGCTTATTGAGTGTGTAAAATAAGTAATGTGGGACATAACCCAAGTCATATTTCAATCAACACTGTGTTAACGACACGTGTTTGTAGACATGCTCACCGTCATCGCGAGGCAAATAAGTTTGTCTCTGCTAGTTTTTTCTAAGCCAACCAAAATGCTCAACGCGCGTAAGAAAAACGTTCACGTTTAGATAGAAAGAAGTGCATTACACAATAATAACGCACTTTTTTCGGAAAGTTTATGCGTGTACGCCTAAGCGACATGTCGAACGGTTTGATCAACATTTGTAAACATGTTTGTGCATAGTATTTAAGCGATTCAACAATGTTTTAAGTTTAAAGGTATTAGCATAATCTGATCATTCAAACAAAGTTCTTTCAAAACTAAAATTCTACAGAATATAGTGGTGCACTAGTGCTTGCGGTCGAAGAATAAAAAAAAACACTCGTCTCGTATGCATATTTACGGTAAGTCGTAAAAAACAAATAGCGAAATGCACCGGCCACAAAGAAATGAAGTAAAAGAAAAAAGCAAAATAAAATCAAATCGGCTAAAAATCAAATAAAAACTGAACCCAAAGAGCAAATAAAAAGCCAAGTACGTTTGTTACATTTTTATGCCTTACATTTATATATAATACATGCGAAGCCGTCGTGTACGGCTTCGGTGGAATAAAAGCAATAATTTATTTGATTGCGCATTCCTTCCAGTTCACCGAGACGTGCAAGAACACGTATATATAACTATATAGATATATACCTACCTATTCCTGACAACTGCAAACACTCGCAGAGTGCTTGAAATTGGAAGTTGTTATCAAAGATTTAACTGTTAAATTTTTTATTCAAATTTTTAATGTCAAATCACATCACATCTTAAAATAGATTCGATGTTAAAGATATGCAAATGTGAAGAGCTCAAAATGAGACTACGCGCTAAAGAAAAGTCTAGCCTCGTCTATATTCCGAAGAGAAGCCGATTTGCATAAACTGTAACATAACTTTACGAGTTTAACCACGTTTTAACCCGCGATTGCCCACGGGCCGGGCACGCATGTCAATCTGTATTAGACTACAGCCGGCGATAAACGATGGATTAAATGTCTCACAACTTACGAAGTTTCCCGACTGCGCTGTAAATTTGCGGGGATTGCGATCTTCTCATTGCAGCCTACAAGAAAACTGACCAAACAAATTTAACTGCTCATGATGAAATTGTTGGCCGAAGAGAACCACTTAAGCTAAAAACATTTATTGGTTTATATTTTAACATCGTGAACAATATTTATTTCATCATATGTAGGTACACCTTTAAAAGCATGCAATTGGTACATTAATTCTTTTTTGTTGATTCAAGACATAGTTTATGGTTATTCATATTCATTAAAATTGTGTTATTATCATTTTTACCGGGCTGCGTTTGTGTGTAATTTTTGCATTTACATAAATACATAAAACCCATAAATATTGTATTATTTTATAATGAATGCGCTTGCTTGCCACACGATTGTACAACGTTTATAGTAGGTAGTATTACAGTTTTTACATTCTTCTCCATAAACACACGTAAGTTGAGGTTCCGCACGATGAAGAAAAATATTACAATTTCATAATGAATATTCAATAATATTCGTCTGGACTGGTGCGCGGTTTTCGTCTAGTCTGCGTCGGGTTTCAAACGCAATTATCGTGTCTGCCGTTGCCGACGTTCCGTTCTGTCTGCTCTCTGCTCTTGTTTGCATTTTTCCAACAACATATATCATTGCAATTCGTTAGCGTTTCAACTTTTAATATTCATATTTTCGTCGTTGATAGGTAGTGCATATTTTAGATTAAATTGTGACATTTTTCT